GAGAGAGAGAGAGAGAGAGAGAGAGAGAGAGAGAGAGAGAGAGAGAGGAAGGATTTCTTTGTCTCCTTGTTCAGCAATGTTTAGAAATCCAGTAGTGTGTGTTTTATTTGTTTGGGCTTTATAAATCTATAATCCAAACCAGGTTTTATTATTCCCTTCAAGGCAGCCACCCATGTAGTCACAGAATGCTCCAGAAACACACGACTAATTATTGTGGTTTCCCCTGCTGAACTCGAAGGGTTTGGCATTGAACCCTAGTCTCTTGGCTGTTGTAATGCCTTTGCAACAAGCATGAGCCTTTTTTTCTTTTCGTTTTTTCTTTGTTTTTGAACAGGAGCTGCTCTATCTGAACTAGTAACTCGAATCATCCTTTTAGTTATTATCAGGCAATGAAAACTCTTCCCTCTCTCAGATTTCACACACGACTAGAAGGCATAAGTTAATACATACTTTCTTTTGATTTCTGCAATTCTCTCTTTTTCTTTTGATTCCCTAAGGCAAATTTCCTCACTAGAAATACTTCCCATATAATGCTTTTCTTTTTATATTTCAAGGTTGAAAACCTAATTTACTTAGTAGGACAGTATACTGTCATATATAGTTTTACTATATGTATACTTAAGAAAACAATGAGACATTTAGATAGTAAACATTGGATGTTAAAGTAACTTCTTCCCCATTATGCTGGTTAATGTTGGAGTTAAGTAAACATGAGACCAAAAAGTTCTCTCCCAAGATCTTTTATATTATGTGAAAGAGAAGAGCCCAGCCACAAAATAGAAGATTAAAATCTAATCATAAAGTTTTTAACAAAGTGTAAACGAAGGGCCAGTTTGGAACCTAGTAGGTGTGGTGGGATTACCTTTTGACTTATCAAATAGTCAGGTTGTTGAGAAAATAGAACAAAAAAGATCTTTGTGCTTTACTCCACTCTGTGAGGGGGTACCATTCACTTCTCCAGAACCTTCCATCTTCTTGGTTGTCCACAGGTCATGTTGGATCATTTATTGTTTTCAACAACAGTGTGTATAATCAGTCATTCACTTTTTCCCAAAATGTCCTTCTCCTTTGTTTATTTTCTTAAGGATTTAAAGGAGAACTGAAAAATAAGTAAATGAATATATTTGGGGCAAAAAAAATAATATACTGTCATTCTGTTTTATCTTTTGCTGTCCTCTTACTAAAGACTGTTTAGAAACTGACTATCCTAATTTCTAGAAATAAATAGAGCAACAATCTAAAGTTATCCTATTGGAGAAGATATTCACAGCCAAACATGTACGAGGAGCTTCAGATCCACTTCATAAATGGCAGTTGTTCCAGTATTTTTCAAAAAGTAATTTAACGATTTTAGCATCATTTCAGTTTAAATATGTAGACTGAAATGGAGGAAGAGAAGGAAAATGAGGAAAGGAAGATGAAGATTAAAGTCCTTTTACTGATCAATCACTCACCAAAGAGGACCACCTATCAGCACATATATGTAAAACAAAATGAATTTCTCCATTAGACATACCAGTATAAGACTATGGTATTAAAGTGGATTTCTCCATTAGATTCAGCAGTATAAGACTATGATATTTTTATTATAGTAGTTGTTGTGAATTCAGTATAGAACATGGAGATACTGGAAAATAGCCAGATCTCGAGTATTCGGACTTAATAGATTCATCTATTGGTACCCTTATAACTGAACAAATTGTTGGAAACATGGTATGAGAGCCTCATTGGAGGAATTAGGTCCCTAGTATTGTACCTTGAAGGATGTTTCTTATCCCTGGCTCCTTAGTTCTCTCTTGCTTTCTGTGAACCATGATGTAAGACATGATATAAGCCACACTATGTCACTGCACTATGTTATCTCAGCTCTGTCTCAAAGCAGTAGAAATACTGACCATGGATCAATACCCCTAATACCAGAAATCAGCACAAGTCCTTCCTCCTTGAGGTATATATTTCAGTGCTTTGGTGGCAGCAATGAAAGACCAAGACAAAGATGTTGATGTTTATGAACATACTATATGCTTAAGAGTTTTAAAATGTACAGAAGTACTTATGGCTTTCCCAACATTTCTCAGCTGTGGCAGACCTTATTCGCAAGGGAATCCTGCTGATGGACCCTCAGAGAGAAGTGGCCCAGCCATGCAGAAACCAAACAGAACAGGTAATATACTAGTTTGGATTCTGTTGCTCAAAATTCAAGTCATTTTCTTTTACATTTTCGTCCTGACCAAAAAGGCAACTTGAATTCCTGGGTTTTTTTCTTTGTTGTTGTTGTTGTTTTGTTTGTTTGTTTTTTGTCAAATACATAAATTTTAACTTTTTTAAGTTTGTAATTTTATGTGTATGGGGGAGAGTATTATTCACATGAGTATAGTACCCATGGAGGTCACAGTTGGGCAACAGATTCCTGTAGCTGGAGTTATGGGGGACTGTGAGCCACCTGATGTAGGTGCTGGGAACTGAACTTCCTGTACAAGAAGAGTAAATACTCTGAACCTCTGAGCCATCTCTCTAGCCCCAAGTGTGTAAATTTAAAAAGACAAACGAGGAAATAAAAAAATTATCAACCCACTATCTAAATTTAACTCATAGCAACGTTTTGATGTGGGACTCCCCCAAATATTTTTGTACTTTGCAAACAAATGTATATTATTTGAAATGTCAGAAGCCCCTTTTATAATGTACAGGACTGTATGTCTTATGTTATACTATATGGTGATTTTTCTTAATGCCTTGTCCATTAGAGGGGTACTTGTCCTAGCATGCTCTAGTGAGATCACAACCCAGATGCTAAGATATGGCCTTGATTGTACCACTGTTCATGCTAACATGGATTTTTTTTTTTCTTGAGATACTGTGGCCTGGTTCACCCCTACTTATGTTCCCTCCTCATGTGTTGTATTTTTGCACCTTAGTTCCTTCATTTGCAAAATGGAAGAATAACAAAAATATTCACCTCATAAGATTGCTTAAAGACTAAATAAATCAGGTGAGGTAGCTAAAGAGATGGAACTTAGAAGTTGTAAGAGTAGGGTGCCCTTCCAGAGGACCCACAATTGATTCCTAGTATCCACATCAAGTGGCTCAACAAGCACATGTAACTCCAACTTCAAAGATCTGATGCTCTCAGTGACTTCTTTGGGTACCACACAGATGGAGCACACAGAGAGACATGCATACAGCTAAAATAAATGAAGATGAAAATAAGTTTTTAAAACATGAAAATAAACTATATGATGCATTTATTTCCCATTGGAGTACAGGGTCGCTATAAGTAGCTACTGCTTCTGACTGTTGTTGTTTTAATTACTTTTGTTGGCACATCTCTGTGGACTTGCTTTTGCTATTCTGAAAGTATCCAAGACAGACAACAAAATATGAAATATAGAGTTTAAGGTCATGCCACCATCAGAAATAATTTTATGTCTTGGTCAGTGTTTCTTGGTAGATACCCTCAAGAAAAATTTGTTGACATAATTGTTTTTATGAGAATATTGTATAGGAATATATAAAGGGCAAGGAGAAGTCAAGGAAAAACTATTAGTGTGGTCTTTGTGTAGCCTTTTGAAGACTTAGGATGTTCCTCCAAGTCTCCCGGAGCTGACAGAGTGAGCGGAGCAGCTCAGGTACCTTTGAGGTCTCTCATAGCACCATGACCCTCCAATGCAGTGTCTCCCTGTTCTCCATAGATGAGGAACTGTACCCAATCTATGCAGTTGTCGTGCTGCTCATAGTCCCTGATTTTACACTGCAAGTAGTTACATTTTAAACATGGAAGAAAAGAGAACCCTGAGACAATTTACAAATATCTCATTCTTCCTGGTGACTGCTTAGAAGCATAGTCTTCAGACAACTAGTGTTCTCTGGTTGGATTTTTAGCTAACGTTTGACTACTGACTGGAGGGAGAGAGAATGAAGGAGACTAAAGAAGGAGGAGGCCCAGACTCCAAAGACCTGGGCTGTACTCATAACTTATGTCCATTCATGGGCATAAGTCACTACTTCATACTCTGTCGACCACTCATTCCAAAGTGTGTCAATATAGGTATTCCCATCTGATCTGCCCATAACTAGTGTGTAGTCAACTGTCTCCTGGTTTCCTGGCTTAATGCAATGGAAGGATAGAATTTTAAACCCAGCAAGGGAATGTAGTTTAGTGATGGAGTTCTTGATACCATTGTCTGAAGCTCCAGTTTGATCCCCATTACGAGAGAGAGAGAGAGAGAGAGAGAGAGAGAGAGAGAGAGAGAGAGAGAATAGGGAATTTAAATGTAATGACTTATGACTTATCTAAAAGATATCATTGAGAGCCACTGAATGTCACATAAATCACACATCTTAATTCCTATCTGCTCATTCAGTTTCAAAATGTTATTTCAGGGCGGCAGAGATTACACGGATTATAGGAATATGTACTGTATGGGTCCCCAGCACCAATGTTGTGTGGTTTACTAGTTGTCTGTAGCTCCAGTTCCAAGAGATCTAACAGCCTCACCTGGTCTCCACAATATTCTAGGTGTAGAGATCCATGAAGGCGGTCTCTCTAAATGTCATCATATGATAATGTTTTAGGGAGATTTACTTCCTCATGGCCCTTCCCCATCATTGGTCTCTCATAGCAAGCCTTTCTCCCTCAACTGCAGATGACACTTCTCAAGTTACCTCTGACTATGAGACCAACAACAACAGTGACAGCAGCGACATCCTGCAGAATGAAGAGGAAGCCGAGTGCCAGAGAGAGCCTCCGAGGAAAGCATCGGCTTGTGGCACCTATACTTCCCAGACCATGATCTTCCTGGTAGCCCCACATCACTAAACTCGTTCATTTCCATGAGAACTTGCTTCCATTGCAGAGACTGGCTTAGGGATAGATCCTGCTGTCTTTAGCTTTATAGCTGCATCCCTTTGGAACTACATGGCTGGATTGTTACAGCCTTCTTCTCTCTGCACATATTGGTTTCTTCATGATTCCTTTATTTGATAATGAAAAGAATAAGGTGTGCATGCGTGCATGTGTGTGTGTGTATATTTTTGTGTCTGCAGGGGCACATGCAGGTGTGCACACATGGGAATGAAGGTCAGAGGACAACCATTGATGTTTTTTCTCAAGTTCCACCTACTTTATTTTGAGTCAAGATCTCTCACTGGTTTTGAGCTCAGTAAGGAGTCTGAGCAGTTAGCTACCAAGCCCTAGGAACTCACCTTTCTCTATGTACCTAACTTTGACATTACAAATGCCCACAGTCAATCACACTTATTTTTTAAAGTACGTTGTGTAGACCAAACTCAGGCTCCCATGCTTGCCTGACAAGCTCTTTACTGCTGAGCCAGCTCCCCAGCCTCATGTAATCATCCTTTACATTTGAGTACAAACAAGGAAATAAAAAACTGAGTAAGAAAAAAAGAAAAATTAATAAACTAATAAAACTAAGTGGTAATATAACATTGGAAAGAGGGGTGGATTGACTGATTTTCTTAGGGCATCTTCTGTTTTACCCTTGATGCCCTCTTGATTACAATATGAACCAGTATTTGTTTTTCTTGTTATATGAGATCACAGTTTTACTGATTCTCAAAGGTCCTTTGATGGTGACATATCTGGCACAAAGACACTCACTGGTGTGTGTTTGAGTGAGGTTAAGCACAGCTGCTGAGGACAGAGAGTAGCTGGCCTGACTGTAATCTGCTGCTGCTGCTGTTATCATTTTTTCTTTCATTATGTTTCTGCTACTCTTGCTTTAAAGCAGTGTTTCAGATTATAAAAAAAAAAAAACAAATGTTTTCTTCTCTTCATTTTCTTTACGTTTTAAAATATTTGTGGTAGTGGAGAGATAGGAGTACCCTGACTCAGGACATGTTGTACACTAAATGTCCTGGCATTTGCATACAGCAGGTCATGCGGATGAAATAATATTCCTGAAAGATGTGGCTTCTGTCATTCTCTAGAAATAATGGAGATCTGAATAGCTGAAATACAAATGCAGTTAAAGCGGAGGGTCTTCATTAGAGAATCTTGCAATTGACGCTATAGTAGTAGAGGTGACATCGTGGGGGGTGGGAAGGTCTGTGTTAGGCTGGGTTGTATGTGAAAGAGACACAAGTGGGCACCAAACCACATAAAAGCCTGTCTGAACTGGCTTTGATGCTAGCCTCTTTACTCTAGGCTCATTTCTTCCTATTTTTTTTGTCTGTTTACTGATTTTAAGATGCATAGACTTACTTCAGAGAGATGCAGTTGTTTCTTAAATTTGGCAAAGTGATTTTTTTAATAGAAAAATTATATTTGGTTCAAATATCTTCATCTGTATTACAGGACAAACCAATTCTTGCTCCAGAACCCCTGGTCATGGATAACCTGGACTCAATTATGGATCAGTTGAACACCTGGAATTTTCCAATTTTTGATTTAGTAGAAAATATAGGGAAAAAATGTGGCCGTATTCTGAGCCAGGTGAGAAATGTATTCAAGTGGCTGAATTGAAACATGGGAGAAAACAGTTTGCTGGTTTGTAAAAACCGCTGTATGTTCTCAGCACCTGTGGGCAGATGTATAGATAGACATGAAATTTTATGCTAGAACACCTGGTAAGTTCTATGACTGTGTGCTATCCAAAGAAACTGGAATATCAAATGAATATTATCATCTACATTTAAGAAAATATGCAATTGTTTTTAAAATATAACTTTATTTTTTATTTATTCACTGTATATCCTGGTTACTGACCCCCCCTCCCAGTAATCCCCTCTCACAATCCTTCCTCTTCTTCCCTTACCCTCCTCCTCTGAGCAGGGGGGAACTTCCTGGTTATCCACCCACCCTGGCACTTCTAGTCTCTGTGAGGCTAGGCTCATCCTCTCCCACTGAGGCCAGACAAAGCAGCCCAGATAGAAGAACATATCCCATGTACAGGCAACAGCTTTTGGGATAGCTACTGTTCCAGTTGTTCACGACCCACATGAAGACCAATCTGCACATCTGCTACATATGTAGTCCTAGGTCCAGCCCATGTGTGTTCTTTGGTTGGTGGTTCAAGACAATGGAAACAGAGGCAGGGGTAGATAAGCAAGATGCAGGTGACTGGCATTCATAGAATTGAGCCAAAGAGAAACTTGCCTGGCTCCAGAAAGGAAACTTCTGTTTGCGGTGGATCTATTGCTATAATTGTATGTAGTGACTTGTTTTAACTTCTGAGCGTCACAGTGCTTAGCAGTCATGAAAAATAAGATTCTATGCAGAACTATGTATCTCCACTACTAGCACAGGAAGCATCAGTGTTGTGTTTGTTTGGAAATCAAACCATCACTGTCTTTTACAGGAAATACAGACTGAGTGACTAGAGTGCTGGACAAATGTGTTAGTCTTGTTTCTGTAAGGGAAACCCCTTGACTCCCCTAATGAAGGATTGGTTGCTGGATATGGAAAGGAAACATCTGAAAATTAGGAAAACATTTAACTATATTTGTTCAAAAGTCGAAGCCAGTAATGAATTGGTTGTATAATAAAATAACTATCAAAATACATATAATCCAGACTTACTAGTTGCTACTTTTGCTGAAGATGCAAGCTGAGTTCCTAGTACCAACATGGTGGCTTACCACCATCTGTAACTCCAGTTCCAGTAATCTGGTGTCCTCTTCTGAACTCTGTGGGCACTAGGTATACACTTGGTGCACATGCACACATGCAGGCAAATACATAATGCTCATCAATTAAAATAAAAAATATATACAAAATCCAAGAGGTGATAAGATGATATATTAGAATATATTTACAATATGGGTATGAGTAAGGATCACAGCACTCAGGAAGACTGCTGACATTGGTGAGTCCAAGGTCACCCTTGATTCCATGAAACTCTACCTCAAAAACAGCAGCAACAACAAAAATGCCTCAGTGGGATCAGGCCACAGCCCACTTTGTTGAGGGTCATTATCAGAATTAGCAGATGCTAGTTACCATCTGTATAATACGCCCTTGATCCTTTGCTAGACTTTATCCTGGCCACGACCAGGATACAGTGGCAGGCAGCCATGTTTGTTAGGAGTTGATAGTTCCATTTCCTCTTCCTGAGTTCTTTGTGCTAAACAGTGTCTTTAAGGCTCACTGACCTTCGAAAACTCAAGGTAGCCATGGTATCCCATTTACCTTAGTGTGAGAATTTTTCCCTTCTAGGCGTGTTTGAATCCAATTGCAAAATTGGATTGACTCTGAGAGCAAGGCTGTTCTGGAAACAGACAAGTAATATATCATGTCACAAAGAATGGCTTTGGTCAAGGCAGGATGGTTACTTTTACTAGAGATTGTCTCAAGTGTATGCAGGGAGAATGAGAAAATTCTCATGCAATATTGCCCTTGATCCATGTCACAGGTTCCCCACAGACATTTTATTTTTTCTTCTTGAAACAGTGTCATGCTGTAGCACAGGATAGCCTACCTGGAACTCTTTATATAGCTCCAGCCTAAAATCAGACTCTAGGATAGCCTACTACTTAACTCTTTAGTTCATCATTCAAAGAACTTAAGAGACTCATGTGAAGGCTGAGCATAGTGGTGCATACCTTTAATCCCAGGACTTGGGAGGCAAAGGTAAGGGATTTTTTTTGTGTCTGTGAGTTTGAGGCCACCTTGATCTATATAGTGAGTCCTAGACCAGCCAGAGCTATATTGTGAGACCTTGTTTTTAATTTTTAATCTTATGTAGTGATTTGAAGTTCTAACCGTTTTTGATTTCCCAGTCATCTTTGAGGGATATGAAGAAGTTAAGACAACAAACTCTAAAACCAACATGTACAGTTTGGCTTCTGGCTCTGCTCCATGTCAACTGGGTGATCTATAAGTTGTTCAGCCTCTCTGTGCTCAGCATCCTCTGCTAACAGGTATTAGAAATCCATAGTCTCAGTCTCAAAGGGTACCCTGAGAAGTATCTGTAATAATTATTATGTTCCAACTGACTAGGGCTGCCATACTTACTCTAATTATTGTTGAAGCAACAGGCTTTGCTAACTCCCCTAGTGTTTATACACAGTATCTCAAATATTAGGTAAAACAATAGCAAAAATTACAGTAAGAACTCTGTACCTAGCCTGGGCTCAAAGCCATAGCAAGCTATCAACTATATCCTCTCCAAGTGCTGGGATTGTAGGTGGCAGATGCCAGACCTAGCTTAGCATGCATCATGTATATATTATCTTCTGACATTCAGTAGTCATTCAATACCTCAGTACATTATTTTTAGTGTTGCTGGGGTTCTCGGTTTCTTGGATGTCTATGGAATTTATGCACAATATTTATCTTGACTATAGATGATGTAGTCCTTATGGTAAGGTAGTGTGTGGGCTTAGTCCACAGAAGTCTTCAGTGTGTTTATTGTTCCCAGTAGAAGTATAGCTGCTGGCAATATATCTGTGTGGTTGATGGACTCACACTATCAGCTTTTCCCTCTCTAGCACAGTGAGTGATGTCTTACAAGGTCTGGTCTTTCTCTCTTCCAGGTATCATACAGACTGTTTGAAGACATGGGACTATTTGAAGCCTTTAAAATCCCGGTTAGGGAGTTTATGAATTACTTTCATGCTTTGGAAATTGGATACAGGGACATTCCTTGTGAGTATAAGATAATCCAGTGCCTGCTTGTCAGACCTACAGAGAGCAATGGGCGGTCAAGGCATCAATGACCAATGCTGTGTGCACTCTGTGTGACTCATTGTACTGATGGCTATGACTAGAAGCCTGTCTCCTTCACCACATAGCACCTGAGACACGGAGTTTCATACACTTCCTCTAGCCTCATTTCACAGAATAAGGTCATCAGGTCTCCTTCACATGAGGGTCAGGATTACATGAGATGATGACTTTTAAAAGGTGAGATTATGTGCTTCGCATCTCATAGTTTTTTTGAGGTAAGATTAATTGTTAAATTTGTTCTCATTAAATAACCACCTGCTTTTGTTGAGTGAATTTAAACTTTTCTCATGGTATTTGACTAGTTTAACAACTAAAACAAGAACGATTGATGTTTTCTAAAGATGAGCTAAGCTGGGCTAGTGTTTTGAGGGGCTGGAGGATGGTGGTTTAGTTAATGCTATAAAGAGGAAGTAACGTACCAAAGGGTAATGGGGAAAGATCAGATACATAGGAAACCCCAAGATGGCGGCACAGTCAAGGGTTCTAGTTCAGATTACTGACAAAATTATAATAATGAAGACATGGTTCAAAGGAGAGGTTTAACACATCCAATCCAGTCAATCTCCACATGTAAGCACAATGATTATACAATACTTTAGAGTCCATGAAGGAAATGCGCAGAGACCCAAATACAGGAAGTATAGAATCCATATGGTGCGTCAAAGGAATACATACATAGATGAAAAGGCAATCCTATCAGTCTATTAATTTGAATACGTCCTAGGAATGTGCTCATTGTGTTTTTTGTGATAACCTATGCAATATTACCGGACACATGTCATTTAAAACATGCTTTCTCTTTTAAGTCTGCTTTTCGGCATATTGAACTTCAAAAGCTCATGTCTTACGTAGTTACCAAAACTTGAAATGAATGGCTGAGCATGTCACATAGTTGGTAGAGAATTTGCCTAGAAAGTAGGAAGTCAGGGGTTCAATGCCTAGGGCAACATAAACAATGCATATGTCTGTAATTTCAGCACTCAGGATGTTGAGTCAGGAGGATCAGAAGTTCAAAGTCATCCTGGGCACATAATGAGTTTAAAACAAGCCTGAACTATGTATAGAGAGACCCTGTCTTAAAAGCAGAAACAAACTAAAACAACAAAAAGTTAAAGCTAAAATTTAAAAATGCTTAGCCTTGGGCACAATTATCTCTGCAAAGTATCTCTGGCAAGTATCTCTGAAGATCATGAACATGCTAGCTTAGAGAGCATGATGATTTTAAAATACTCCTGTGGAATAAGCACATGAAAATGCATTAGCACATAGTGAGGCAGGAATGGAGAAGGAAGAATGCAGGCTGACACTCAGACATGCTGAGAATTACAGACAAGGCATAGGCAAGATAGATCGGCTTGGGGAAGAGGTGCTTACTGATACTAGGTCCTTTGGGAAAGTCTGTTCGATGAGGTCATGGAAGTTGGAAGAGAGAGATGAAAAGGGGGTTGATGGTGGAGGCGGGGGTGGGGGGTGGGGAGAAGGATCTGGCAATAAGCCTGGCTTCCTTTAATGTGACTTTCCCAGGGCTCAGCCTGGTCAGGTGCCAGCAAGTGACATAAATGTTAGTGATCTCACAAGGGTTAAGGAGTTACATAAATAAACGTTTTTAGAAAGGAAGCCACAAGAAAACTAAAGCACAGTTGTATCCAGACAGGACTGCCAAATTATTGTTTTATTTCCAAAGGTATTTTAGTTTTCAATCGGTGGATCCTATTGAACTTACCTGGAAGCCACACTGCATAGAAACACTGCAATGTGTGGCCATACCACTCTGCTATGACCTAGAACACTGTGTTGTATGTAGTGTCACATGAGGCCATGGGGAAGACTAGGCCAGTATTCAAGTGTAAAAAGCAGCTTCCAGAATTCAAAGTTTGTTACTTTATGTTTTGAGTTCCCATTTTTAGATGAGTGAGTAACTTATTTTTTTGTAAACTATTGATTTGTTCACTTCAAGTGAAAATAATTTATGATGATAACGATGCTTACAGGGCAAGCAAGTTGGCTCAGTTGGTAAGGACACTTGCCATCAGAGCTGAGGACATAAATTTGATCCCCCACACCCACATAGTAAAAGGAGAGAACTGACTCCCATAAGTTGTCCTCTGACCTCCAGGATATGCTTGTGTGTCTGTTCATACACACACCCACACAATAAGTAAATGTTAAAACAAACAACAAACCTGCTTGCACCATTTGAAGTCCTTTGCATTTCCATAAGGGAATTTACATCTCTCAGAGGAGCTTTAGCTTGTGTGGTTCTGCTTTGAAATAATAATATCTTCTATGTGTTGAAGTTGCACACTTAGATTAATGTGGGTAAGCTAATAAAGGCTGTGCTTGCCATAGCTTTAATTGCAAATGCAGACATCCACTGCTTAAATTATTTTAGCACTTACTCTCCCAAAGTCTTATGTCTCATGGGTTTCTGTAAAGAAATCCACAATTAGTATTAAAAGATTATGGGAAAACCATGAAAATGAAATCAAATGAACTGTGTCAAAAGAATCTATTCACATCTTAGTAGTAGAGTCATTAGTCAGAGTTCACAGGGAAGCATGGAACTTAATATGAGTTTCTTTCTTTCTGCTTCTCTGCATAGTTTTTCTTGGAAGGGAGCAAAGAGACAGAAACGTAAACACTATGCAGTCACATTCCTGTGTGTATAGGGCTCTGGAAGAACCAGATACTGGCCTTTCCATTTTGGATATCGGGACGCACAATAAATGCAGAGGTGTGGTTTCTTGTCACTGTAGAAGTGATGTAGTTGTTGGAATTTCTAAGTCTCTGTCCTAGAAAATCTGGCAGGCCTTCCCTGAAGTGTTGAAGTGTGAAGATGGAGTATGTATCCAGTAGATGGCAGTCTTCATCCTTGGACCCCAGAGTTCACAAGCTGATGTGTGCTTTCTCCTTTCGTTGTTACAGATCATAACAGAATCCACGCTACCGATGTTTTACATGCTGTATGGTACCTCACAACGCAGCCGATTCCTGGCCTCCCAAGTGTGATTGGTGATCATGGCTCAGCCAGCGACTCTGGTGTGTATGAACTCTGCCTGTGCTTCTTAAAAAAGCCAGGAACTCCAAATGTGTGTTGTACTTGCAGTTTGTATGTTGTATTTTCAAATCAGATAATCTCAGCTTCACGGTTTTAAAGAATGCCCTTCACTTTCACTTCCTCTCCTCAGATTCTGACAGTGGATTTACACACGGACACATGGGATATGTGTTTTCAAAAACATATCATGTGCCAGATGACAAATACGGATGTCTGTCTGGGAATATTCCAGCCCTAGAGTTGATGGCTCTGTATGTTGCTGCAGCCATGCATGACTACGACCACCCAGGGAGGACAAATGCTTTCCTGGTTGCCACTAGTGCTCCTCAGGTAAAGGCTTAGATTTTCATGAGGAGATAATAATTTAGGTTCTGCCTTTTTTGGAATAAAATTAATTTTACAAATATGACTAGTAAAAGGCACTAGATCTGTAGACACTAAACTGTACTTAGTCCTCAGATAGAATTTTCAGAGGCCTGGTTAATTTCTAAAGATGTCATGGTGTGTGCCAAGACATTCATGGTAGATATTTCACCTCATGATGTAAAAGGTCTTTTCTCAGTTGCCTTTTTTGAGGAGAATCAAGGCAAATGACTAGCAGTGAATATCCTCCTCAAAGCAAAGATACCTTACTCACATCCCCTTCTGAAAAGACTAGAGAGCCATGATTTCCTTCATCTGTTAAGAGTATAGGAGATATTTTGTATGTAGAACTTATTCTTTCAAAATATTTTCATGGCCACATTTATTCTTAGTGCATGCATTTTCATTGGTAGGAATTTATCATCCATTTATCTTAGGGTGAATTTTTTGACCTAAACAAAGTTTTTCTAAACAAAATATTATTAAAGAAAATAATTATATATAATTCATATACATGAATATATAATAAATATATAATTATATATGATATATAATATATAAAATAAAAACTTATAATATATGTGATATGATATATAAAACTTATATATGTAATATATAAAATATACATACAATATAAATATATAATATATAATTTATATATAATAAAATATTTATAATAATTTGCAAAAAAAGTTTTAAGGGGAGAAATTTATATGCCAGAAAATACAAAAGCATCAATAGTCAAGATAATACAGTGATTATTTTATAGCCCACATAAAAATGTGTAATTTAAAGCCTAGTCTTTTGTGATTCTATACTTTTTTTATTGCATTTTAACTTAAAATGTTGGACCCTCTTTTTCTGCCTCTTTTCCACCTTAGGCAGTGCTATACAATGACCGTTCTGTTCTGGAGAATCATCATGCAGCTGCAGCCTGGAATCTCTTCATGTCCCGGCCAGAGTATAACTTCTTAGTTAACCTGGACCATGTTGAATTTAAGCACTTCCGGTTCCTAGTCATTGAAGCAATTTTGGCTACTGACTTGAAGAAACACTTTGACTTTGTAGCCAAGTTTAATGCCAAGGTAACCAGATCTCTACCAGTATTCATTTTGTGGCTTCATTACAAGATGTCTTAGAGTCAAAATATTGATCAAAACTCCATTTCCAGGAGCTTACTATGAGAAAGAAATGGTTGAAACATTTATCCACGCAGATGGGCATTGCTCTGAGGCTAGATGCCCAAAATGTTGAGGTCTTGGCTGTCTGTGTTAGACTTTGTTCTATAAACTATCAGCTCACTGCTCTTTGTTTAATGTATTCTTTCCACAGTGTATGAGGTGAGTTATCCAACAGTAGTAGAGATGAAAGAAATCATGAGGCAAAATTTCATGTCTCAAACATAAAAGCCAACATATTTGTTCAAGAAAGTTTCTTACTTATTCCTGAAGAGAAGCCTCAGGCAGTAAGAGTATTTGCTTTGTCAGCATGAAGACCTGTCTGACCCTGTGAACCTACATTTAAAAAATAAAGATAAAAAACTGAGCACAGTAGCACGCATGTATATAATATGAGTGCCTCAGCTCTTGGGAGGTAGACACAGGAGGCTCGTCCGAGTCTCACTGGACAGCATCCTAGCCTAATCAGTGATAGCTTGTCTCAAAAAGCGAGGTGGTGGCTTCTGAGGAAGCCCCTGGCCTACTTACATGCACACATACACACAGGCACAGATATACATAAGCATACAGACACACAGATGCACACTCATTCACATGCATACATGTACACATGCACACATATACACATACACACATGCAACATACATGCACACATACACACACACATGTACATTCATACACATGCATACATACACACATGCATAAATACAGGCACACAAAGATATATATGTATATACTGGCACATATATATGTGCATACATGTATACACACATACACACTCACACACACACACACTCCTGCAAGTATGTTTTTACATACACATAAAAAAAGAAAACTTCTTATTGTAGTTTTATTATTAAATAGAAACTGATACTATGTGTTAACTTTAAATAAGATTTCTAATAAGCTCAGTAAGTAATAATGACTTTATCATTGACTGCAATTTTGAATGAGTTGCATCACTTTTCTTTTTAATGCAAGCTGATGGTATTAGATCCAATATCTGAAATTCTGACGTTTGACCTTCTGATCCCCACACAGTAAGAAGATAATGAAATTCCATTGTCCTCTCTCATGTTTAAGCGAGACATGGAGACAGAAAATGATATTTTTGTGCCTCAAACAGGTGAACGACGACGTTGGAATAGATTGGACCAATGAAAACGATCGTCTTCTGGTGTGTCAAATGTGTATAAAGTTGGCTGACATCAACGGGCCTGCTAAATGTAAAGAACTCCACCTGCGGTGGACAGAGGGCATCGCCAGTGAGTTTTATGAACAGGTAACTTGCAGAGCCCATTATCCATCACAAGCCGTGTGTCCTTGCTGTGTACAAGTTCACCAGAGCTTCCCTCAAGCCATGTCAGCATGATCAACCCACCTTACATCCACACTTGCACCAGATAGACACAGGACAGTTTCAGCAGGAATTTTTAAATGACATGTATGAGAAGGAACTCAGCTGTTGTCACCGAGGTCGAACTGTCTTGCAGAGTGATGCTAGTATCACAGAGTGATCTCGTGAGATGTTATTAATGCCCTTTAAATGCCGAGCTTCTACGGGTTCATTGGTTGCAGTAAAAGCAGCTGCAGATTTGTATAGGGAAACGTACCAGTTGACTGCTTTGTTAGCAGAGCAGAATAACAGCAGTGCGTGAGAAAGGTGCAGGTGTGTGTGAGCACTCAAACGTGTGTACATTCGACACAAGAACATAAGCAGTAACAGAACCCCTGCAAAGCCTGGTAAGCGTGAATGACGAACCCCATGGAAACCTACATTGTCCTAATTATATTCACAGTTCTGAACAACATTCCTAAGAAGAACATGGAAGTAAAAGGGAATGAATAACAGATATCAGTGACATAGGGGATATCAAAAGTGAAGATGTTTACCCTGAGGGGGAAAATAGATGATGTCAGACTGTGGTCAGATGTTAAAAACCACACGAACAACTTTAGTTTAACTTTAAATAGGTTTGTCAGAACATTGCTGTGGAGGTTGGACAGGGTAATCCTATCAAGTACTTAACACAGAGCTGATCCATTAGAAATGTTAAATTCATTCAGAGTGACCTAAAGACCATAGGGGTTAGCTGACGTGGTGGTACAAACTTAGAATCCCAGTAAGTGAGGCTGAGACCAGACCTGGTGGGGCTGCAATGTGAGGTCAGATCTTAGAAGAAAGGGGCCAGGGGGTCACCTAACAGGTTTGTTCTAGTTATTGTGGACAGAGTTCCGGCCAATGGCAGAAAATAAAACTTGTTAATGTTCAAGGTGTCTGCCCCATCAGAATGAGGCATTCTATATTTACATAGGGGGATTAGACTTTTAAGGTTTATGTAGCCAACATTCATATACAAAGTGAAATATTTGTGCTTTTAAAAATAGTGTATTGCCTTTTTTAGTAATGATATTATCAATCAATGCTAAAATGTTAAAATGCAGAAAAATATAAAAGAAAAAGGAAAATTCACCTACCTTGGCTTAAAATTTTATAAATCTCCTTAAGTTTTATAAGTAACTTTTTGTTTATCTTCAGTTACTTTTATTCTCATAAATATTTGGCAGTTAAAAACACAAACTTCTAAAAAATATCAAAACCATTTAATTATCAGAAGATACATATCAAACAACTGGGATAATATAGCAACTTGAATTGATGAAGAAAATGGCTTATGCTTTGTAGCAGTTGAGGCAAAAGTCAAACATCACAGGGATGTGGCTCAGCAGGTAGCACACTTGTCTAGTGTACAGGAAGCCTTCAGTTCAAACCGTAGCACTGATGGAGCTGTGGTGCACATGGGTAATCTCACTATGTGCCCCCTTGAACATGAACCAAAAACTCATGCACAGTTAAGAAAACTAAGGAACAAAGTCTTCCTCTAGGCATCTTAGCCATCAGGGCAGTGCCTCTGATCATCGATGTCAAGGGACTTTTATGTGACTATCTGGGTTACGGGGTACCCTCATGTTAGATGATAGGTGAATGCTGACTTGCCTAATGTTATACTCCTCTGTCACTTACCTTTGTGAATCCCTGTTTCTAGGGCGATGAAGAAGCCAGTCTTGGTTTGCCCATAAGCCCCTTTATGGACCGCTCTGCCCCACAGCTGGCCAATCTTCAAGAATCCTTTATCTCGCACATCGTGGGTCCTCTTTGCCACTCCTATGACTCTGCGGGTCTTATGCCAGGAAAATGGGTGGATGACAGTGATGATTCCGGAGACACCGATGACCCCGAAGAAGAGGAGGAAGAAGCTGATACACCACACGAGGAAGAAACCTGTGAAAGCAGTGCAGTTCCCAGTAAGCCATGAAACACAGTTCTGATGAGATTTTCCAGGGCTGGTTTCTTGCCTTGGAGTTAGAGGGATGTCACACTTCTCGTAAATCACATACTTTATGTCCAGCTGTCCTTTGTCAGCTTGGGTACTACAAAGCTGCCTTCTCTGGTATCACAATGGAGACAGCAGGAGATGGGATTTATGACATCCAGACATCATGTTAACAGATGCTTTCACCATGATATAGAGTTGACAACTAGCTTCAGGATTTTTTAATGATGTAGAATCTGGGTTACAATATGGACCAATCACTGGCTTTTTTTTGTGGCCGAATTGGGGATGGTAAGAGGTAAGAAGAGTTTAGATTTTACCTAACAACTCCTTGCTGCACAAATCCCCAGTGCCTGGGTTTTCTTCCTGGTAGATATGTAGGGGAAATTTAGTAGAGCAGCAGATGCACAGCAAGACAAAGCAGAATGTCCATAATATTCTAGGTACTGATAGATTTGTTCTGTTTGGGGATTTGTTCTTTGTTGGTTTGTCTTACTTTGAGGGGGAGATATAAAATAATTCAGAGAATTTTTAAATAACTTACCAAGAGAGAAAGAAGAAATAGTATGTTGAAAACACCCATAATGAATAAGGGAATGTTCCATGGGAATCTATGTGGAAATCAATTTTGAGACAATGAGAAGGTATCAGCTTTGAGGTTCTGCAGTGGATATTGAGTGGGGGAGTCAGGGTGGCTAAAGCAGAGAACAAGAAGAGGAAGCATGGGAGAAGCCACAGAGAGCCAGGTAGTCAGGAGGGAGACAGGGCTCTGTGAGTCGCAGTTGGAACTTGGACTTTTCCACTAAGATGAGAAGCAGAGGTGTTTTGAACAAAATAGTTTAGTGGACTCACCTCACATTTAGTCTTGTTGCTTGAGGAAATGTTTTGGGGGTTGGGGTAGAGATAGAGGTATTGCTTTGACGGTCGAACTGATCTGAATGATTACTGACTACGACTTCTTTAGGGTAGTGTCGGTGGTGTGACAATGGGAGTCTGTCTGTCACAGTTTCATTCCTGTAGCTATAGCAGAAACACTGACAAGAAGCCACTTAGGGGAAGAAAATTTATTTAACTCATAGTTCCACCTTACATTCCATTGCTGAGTCACAGTGGCAGGCGCTTGAAGGAGGTGATCACATCACATCCACAGTAAGAGCAGAGATAAGCATAAGAATCCTGGCTTGCTCACTGTGTTCCCTCGATCTCCAACAGTTAAGGGGCTAGCCCACGAGATGAAGCCACTCACTACTAGGATGTTTCTTTCCACTTCAGTTAACAGTCAAGACTCTCCTTCACAGGCATGCCCACAGGCTAACCTGAGCTAGAGTTTCTCAGCCAAACTTTCTTCTCAGGTGATCCTGAGTTATAGTGAGCTAATAATGACAACTCACCAATGCACCATTGCATCTGATAACTGGCTTTAAGTCTATTATGCAACCAGAATTCAAGTGACTATAAAATTAAGACTCTGCCATGCCTTTAGATACACTACCGTGTATCTTTTATAACAAAACACGGTGACTAATAATATGATTGGTAAAACCTACAACCCCTGAAACAGCATTAAACATTATGTTCCTGTGTTCCTGTGAACACAGCATGTATCTTATCTACTTGAACAAATGGGCAAAGCAAAAGCTTAATATTTTCAAAGTCTTTGGTTGGCATCATCATGGAAAGATACCCTGGTGATTTTCTTCTCTATTTTGATCAGTCAGGAAAATGTAAGATTTGGTTCAAGTCTAACATAGAGTAGGGAGGTTCTCTAACCTGTCGTGGTCCATTCTGATTATATATGCATGTGTGAGGGTGTGGGTATAGATGATATAGATATTGGTAGATATACCCTGATATTCAGTACAGCCCAGCAGAAATAAAGAGCTGGTTGTCAACTCTATATGTACTTGACAGAACCTTAGAACACTGGATTTAGGCTAGATTCTTGTGTCTTTTGTCCTACTTGTTAGCATTTCTTGATCGTGTGTGTGTGCGTGTGTGTGTGTGTCTCTATAGACATGTATGTGAAAGTCAGATGACAGTGTTTGGTGGTGTTCCTCCCCTTCCACTTTGTGTAACACTCAGACTCTTTCTTTATTGATACCTAAGGCAAGCTAGCTGGCTGATGAACTTCCACAGACTCTCCTCTCTCCACCTCCTGCTATCTATAGGAGCACTGAGAATATAGATGCTCTGGTAGGAAATCAGCTTGAAGTGGATGATAGGATCCAAATGCAGGTGCTCACACCTGCTAGCTGTTCTTTACGTAGCAGGTGCTAGCTTTTGGATTGAATCAGGGAAAATGAAAATTTGGTTTTTCTCTAGTACTCTTATTGCCAATGTATTTCTCTGATATTTATAAATGGAAATTATTGATTTTTGGATTCAGAGCTAGAACCTGAGATTTAAGATTCAAGAGTTATTTATTCATCTTTTAGTCTTCTCTTCTGCTTTATTTCCATTTCAAGCTGTCAGCCTGCTGCTATGCTTATGGTGAGACAGCTCTCCCAGTGAATATCCTGAAAGAGGTTTGTCAACCGAGCCCCTGGAAATGTGTTGTTTCCAAGAGTCTTGATGGATTGCCATTTAAACTCAAAAACAGTTAGTAGTGTACATACCCGGACATGGGGACCTGAAGGATTTGTCCCAGGACTTATTTAGCAGGCTTAGCTTACTCATCTAAGCTTTAATAGGGAATACTTTTTCCAAACACTGGGCTCGCATGTTAGCCTCTGCACTGATGTGTTGTTCCTTTGTTCTTTCTGTTTTAGTCAAGTCTAGTAGAGCATCCATGAGAGTTCTATGAATTCAGTTACACATAGCTTTCAGTAATTAACTAGCCTCCTTACACTGAAATTTAAAACATCTCTGCTCCAACAATCAGATACTGTAGCTTTAAAAGTATGATCTGCTTGTGAACATGTTTGTGTGTGCATGCATGTATGCATATGTATGGGAATGTGTGTGTGTGTGTGTGTGTGTGTGTGTGTGTGTGTGTGTGTGTATGAAGGTACAGGTGTATGTGGAGGCCAGGCCAGGGGTTAATGTCACCTTATAATTTTTTGAGGTAGGGTTTTCTTTGTGGACTTGAAGTTCATTTATTTGGCTAAGCTCGGTAGGCAGTGAGATCCAGGGATCCGCCTGACTCCCCATATCTGTGATTACAGTGGCATTCCACAAGATGTATGCGAACATGCTCAGCTTCTCACATGGATGCTGGAGATCAAGTCAGGGTCCTTGTACTGATGCAGCAAGCACTTTACCCACTGGTCCATCTTTCAAGCTCTCTAAAATTATGACTTTGAAGCAACTTTGTGGCCCTCAAAATGATAAAGGTGGAGTGATATTAGCAGGTTTAAACACTAGCCACAGAATAGAGTCATAACATTTAGTGAGACCCCCCCTCATTTTAATAAATGAGAAAATAAGATTGACAGCCAACCAATAGCAACATGGCAGAGAAGGCACCCAGGTTTCTTCATTTTTAACTCCATTGCTTTTGATCTCTTTGTAATTTTCATTACAGAATTCATATTGGCTGAGATGTTTACTTTGATTTAGCTTGTTCTTAGATTTCAGGGGAAAAATATTAAATAGGTACTGGTGAGTGAGTTGTGCAGCTTGTAAAACTTGGAGATCTCCCTGGAAACAGAATAAAATGCTGCAGTGTGATGTCCAAAGGGCGGGGGCTTTTATCCCACCTCATAATTAAATCTGAAAGGTTCCTGGGGCGAGCTAAGAGGTTTCTAATGAAGTACTAAGCTGTGCTTTGAATCTGAGCAAGGAAAAGGCGCTTTGTTCTCTTTTCAAAAAGTTCCAGGGCTGAATAATTTGACTCCCAACACTGGCAAGCTTCAGACCACCTGCAGATTCTAATCTACGCAAATATATTTGGTACAAACTTTCTTCTACGTCACTTGGTGCAGCATAATTCCAGAGAGGCTTATTGCTAATGTTTAACAGCTATCTAAAGAACAGCTGCTCTCCTGGGGCCTGCCCCAAAAGGAAAAAAAGGAGGGAAATGGAGCCTTTGTTATCTTCTTCCCTGAGAGTGTGCTCACACTGTGAACAGTAGAGGGTTTCCCATTACAGAGATTCAGACCAAATTCTAGGTAAAAAGTATATTCAGGGGCTAGAAAAGTGGCATTCAAGGTTTTTGCAAAGATCAGTTCCTAGCACCCACAAGTCAAAGACTGTTTGTAACTCAGTTTCAGGAAATCCAGGGCCCTCTTTTTGCTTCTGCAGGCTTGGCCCACAGATAGTGCACATACACTCAAGTGGGCTTATGTGCATACATATAAATCAAAATAAATCATTTACATTCATGACATTTAAAGTCATGCTTTACCACCACAATAGAACTGGAAATAGAACTGGAGTAGATGACTTTGCAAGGAAAATAATTTTAATTTATTTTTAAAAGTAATATGTGCTCATGTACTTTCTTTACTGAAGTAGGATATTGTGTTACTTTTCTTCCTGCTCCCCCCTCCCCAAAGTGCTTAACAAAATCAACTCAAGGATACAGGGTTTATCTCAGATTACAGTTGAAAGAGATTCTAGTCCACATGGCAGGAAGGCACAGCAGAAGAACATGAAGAGGTGAATCAGATGGCATCAGACCATAGAGCCCTTTGAACACTGGTAACCTGCTAGCTTTCTCTTTTTTTATTCAGTCTGGGATCCTGCCCACAGGATGGTACCACCCACATTTAAGGGATAATTTTTCCCACCTCAACCTAATCTGGAAACTCCCTCACTGACATGCCTAGAGCTTTGCCTCTTTTGCTGATTCTAGGTCTTGTCAAGTTAGCTATATTATCCATGACAATTTAAGTGATCGTTGTTGTTGTTGTTGTTTTGAGGAAGTATCTTATTGTCAGAGTTACTGCCTGTGCTCTAGTAGCAAGCCAGGATAGGTCACCTTTATTAAATAAACCAATTAAAAGGATCAAATTAGGGCTGGGATAGCCTAGCACATAAAAGCTTCCTGCATAAGACTGATCCCAGAACCCATATGGGGAAAGGCTAGGTGTGGTGGTGGTGGTGAGGCTTAGCATTTATAATCTCAGCACACAGACTAAGAAATGGGTGGCTGAGAACAGAATATCTCCTGGAAGCTCCTGACCAGCTAAGGTAGCACCCCTCCCTCCTTTGTCTGTCCCTCTCCCTTCCTGCTAATGGAGAATGGGCAGCAGTTCCTTTCTTCCTTATATCCTTTCATGGTCTTTTCTTTCCTTCTCTTCCTATCTCTTACTCTCATACTTGTCTACACACACACACACACACACACACACACACACACCTTAATTTTTGTTTAAATTCTGCCTTGGTAAGGCCAATTAACATTAGATTTCTAGCAGCATTTTAGGAGTACAGAACTAGAGATCTGATATACACATTGGACACATGGACACATCACTATATTGGTACCATTTTTCTCTAGGATTCCCTTGCAAAGGGATGATCCCCAGGCTAGAAGATTTATCTATATAGGAAAGGATCAGAGAACTGATTTCCAATCAGAAGTTTTCTAAAGTGAAAGCTCTGAGAGGAGGGAGATCAGGATCTGGGAGTCGGCATTGGGTCCCCTGTTTAAAATTCAGTCAAGATAAGAGCAGCAGTATCTTGGTTACTTTCCCATTGCTGTTATAAAATACACTGAGCAAAATGACTCAGGGAGAAACATTATTTTATCTTACAATTTCAGGTTACAGCTCATCATTGTGAGCAACTCACAATGCCAAGATCTATAGAGAGCTGGTCACATTGCATCCACAGACAAGAATTAGAAAGCAATGAATCGAATCAGTGCTTGCATGCTAGTGTTCTCCTCACTGTCTCTTCTCATAAGCATTCTAAGACTCCTTCTACCTAGGGAATGGTGCCACCCATAATGGGTCAGGTTTCCCACTCCATTCACCCTTGCAGATATGCCCAAAGGCCAATCCCTCATGTGATTCAAATTTCTGTCAGGTTGAAAATTGACACTAACTGTAATGCCAACTCTGTCACAAGTGCTACCTCTTTCCTAAAACAGCACACTTACTCAATTTCTGTCTCCCACATGTACTTACACATGGAGTGTGAGCACCTTGAAACAAAATTCTGAGGCCAACTGATCTTTGATTAAAGTGCATAGAAACCATAAAAGTGCTTGCCAATTGGCCAATATTGATTGACGAATTTAGATCATGAAAAAATGACAACAACAGTAAAAAAAGAATTTAAATTCTGTCTTGTAACTCTGTGCCTGTGTTACCTTCTCCCAGCATTTAATTTAATATTTTCATTTCTATGTGATTCAAGAATAATTCAAAATAATTGAATGTAATTCTTCTTTTCAGCAATTTTAACAATATATCTTATCCCGTGGTTTAAGAAATTTCTGGTTCCTCTTATCATAAAACTGGCTAAATATTCACCAGCTCTTCCACAAAGGTGCTATGTATGGGTATCAAGAGATCTAACATACTTGGCACATCCCATGACCGTTGGCAAGCTCCAAGTTCAATGGGGATGAAGGTGGAAAGTGGCCGAGAAAGGCTTGTGTTGTGGGGGTTCATGGTATAAGGGTTAGCTCTCTGAATTCTGAAAGGCTTGTGATGCAAACCTCTGATTTCCGTACAGGCAAATCCACATATACAAGTGTACTTATACTATACACACCCCACATATTCTTAACAAAGAAATACAAATAGAACATAGTATGAATATTATTAAATATGAAATATTATTCACATTTATCCCTCAGTAGTAGTTTTTTGTCATGTTCCTTCTCTTTCCCATTCTTGAAAACTGCACTGTTAGCACGTGTAAATCAACTGAGACAGGTAAACAGAAAGACAGACAGATGTCTCTTTGATATTTAATTTCTGTTTATAATATGAAAAACAATAACCTTCATATAGGTAGCTCACAAATAGGTCTGACAATTTATATTTTTCAGGAAAGAAAAGTTTCAAAAGAAGGAGAATCTACTGCCAAATAACTCAGCACCTTCTGCAGAACCACACGATGTGGAAGAAAGTGATTGAAGAGGAACAGTGTTTATCAGGCACAGAGAACCAGTCCCTGGACCAGGCCCCTCTGCAGCATTCCTCAGAGCAGATCCAGGCTATCAAGGAGGAAGAGGAAGAGAAGGGAAAGCCAAGAGCTGAGGAGACGCTGGCTTCCCAGCCAGACGTGTGACCATGGGTAGAGCGAGCTGTGTTTGCAGACAGAATGACTTGTCTCAGACACGTTCCAAGCCAGCACAACACTTAGACACAACACTGTAGAATACCAGAAGATGGACAAATGCCTAAAGTGTTTGGGGAACTCTTCACGTTTTGTGTGTTTATTTTTACAGTGAAGGACAGCGCTGAAGACTCTAGCTCAAAGAAGCTTTTTCACTTTGTGACACCAGCGTCTAAAGATCGTTTTATAAGAAAGAAATTATATGTGTGTGTATAAATTCCCACATAGGCTCATGTAAGACTCGTATTCACGCATACACACATGCACACTGAGAGCCAGGGTGCCTGGCTCCACAAGGTAGTAACAGTCATATTAAGATATATAGAGGTCACTGTGACATAAGAAATCATAAAGGAAATGTGCAGCTTAGAGAGGAAACAGATGTAGGCTCCAGACTCGGCACCTTTTGTTCTTCCTGCTGAAGGATGAACATTCCAGAGCATTGTTGGAATTCTAATCCATACTGCCAACTCTGTGTGTGTGTGTGTGTGTGTGTGTGTGTGTGTGTGTGTGTGTGTGT